AAGAAGTTTATAAATTTTTCAAAATTTTCGAAAAATCAAAAAACGCTGCAAAACGTCTGAACGGCGCACAAAACAAAAAATTTTCGAAAAAAATTTCGAACTGGAATTTTTCAAAGTTTCTTACGTTTATACGCGTTTTGGACGTTTTCCTGCATTTTTCGATTTTTAAAAAAAATTTCAATTTTTTGTCGATGGTACGTACCCCTTTCAAATTTTATAAAAATTTTATAAATGGCTGTCATGAAACGAGAAAATAACTGAAAATTTTACAAATTTTCGCAGAAAGTTTGAAACGGGACTCTTTCTGCCTACGCCATCACTCCAAGTACCGGGGTTTGCATGGCCCTGTCTCTTTTGCACCCAGTCTCTGACTCTCCCAGTCACTGCCGAACTCTTCGTCAATGCACGTACCGTTCTCTCTATGATACGTTCTCTGCCAGGCAGGCTGTGCAATTATCTGTTACGACAGGGACCGGGTGAGACACAGACCGAGTCCAGCAGAGACAGTGTGCTTCAGAGACCGGGTGAAGCACTGTTCCACTCAAGCAGAGACCCTGTGAGGCAGAGAGCGAGACAAGCAGTGACGGTGTGAAGCACTGTCCGAGTGAAGCATAGAGCCTGTGAGGCACAGAACGGTTCAAGCAGGCAACTGGTGAAGCTGAGTGTCAAGCCGAGGCGCGTGTGATACAGATAGATATCGACAGACGGGTTAAGGCAGAAAGAGTCTAGCAGAGAGCATTTGTTGTAGAGACCATGTTTGATGGGGAAGGGATATGCTAGGTATCGGGTTGCAAAAATTTTCAAAGAAGTTTATAAATTTTTCAAAATTTTCGAAAAATCAAAAAACGCTGCAAAACGTCTGAACGGCGCACAAAACAAAAAATTTTCGAAAAAAATTTCGAACTGGAATTTTTCAAAGTTTCTTACGTTTATACGCGTTTTGGACGTTTTCCTGCATTTTTCGATTTTTAAAAAAAATTTCAATTTTTTGTCGATGGTACGTACCCCTTTCAAATTTTATAAAAATTTTATAAATGGCTGTCATGAAACGAGAAAATAACTGAAAATTTTACAAATTTTCGCAGAAAGTTTGAAACGGGACTCTTTCTGCCTACGCCATCACTCCAAGTACCGGGGTTTGCATGGCCCTGTCTCTTTTGCACCCAGTCTCTGACTCTCCCAGTCACTGCCGAACTCTTCGTCAATGCAGGTACCGTTCTCTCTATGATACGTTCTCTGCCAGGCAGGCTGTGCAATTATCTGTTACGACAGGGACCGGGTGAGACACAGACCGAGTCCAGCAGAGACAGTGTGCTTCAGAGACCGGGTGAAGCACTGTTCCACTCAAGCAGAGACCCTGTGAGGCAGAGAGCGAGACAAGCAGTGACGGTGTGAAGCACTGTCCGAGTGAAGCATAGAGCCTGTGAGGCACAGAACGGTTCAAGCAGGCAACTGGTGAAGCTGAGTGTCAAGCCGAGGCGCGTGTGATACAGATAGATATCGACAGACGGGTTAAGGCAGAAAGAGTCTAGCAGAGAGCATTTGTTGTAGAGACCATGTTTGATGGGGACGGGTTATGCTAGGTATCGGGTTGTAAAAATTTTCAAAGAAGTTTATAAATTTTTCGTAATTTTCTAAAAATCAAAAAACGCTGCAAAACGTCTGAACGGCGCACAAAACCAAAAATTTTCGAACCGGAATTCTTCAAATTTTCTTACGTTTATACGCGTTTTGGACGTTTTTCTGCATTTTTCGATTTTTCAAAAAATTTTAAAATATAAAAATGCTTGTAAGAGTTGTGAAAAGCAAAAATAACCAAAAAATTTCCAAATTCGATTTTTCTTAGGAGCATTTTGGGGTATGAAGGGGAATTCGGAATCAGAACTTGTCGATTTTTCCTAGGTGAATTTTGGGGTATGAAGGGTAATTTCGGAATCGGAACACTAGTTTGGGGTATGGGGGGAAATTCGGAATCGGAACTCGTCTTTTTTTTCAAAATTCTAGAAATAAAAAATAAACACACGAACCACAAAAATAAAATCAAAGACAGTTTGTTCAAGTTACTGCTATTATTGCTATAGTTACAATAGGATATCTTCAGACGTTTTGTTTTACATATAAACTTGTGTATGATATATTGTTCTCCGTGTCCTTTTATGCCAAAGATAACCTCATCATTGTTCATTCTTACCACCCCCCGTTATTATACACAAAATACAGTTCTAACATAAGATTTGTAACATGTTATCAACTACAACAAATAATTTTAATAGCACAGGTATTTTATCACACGTACCTTCCTTTTATCTTTCTTATGTGTAAGTATGTTGACAGTAAACTAAATGTAATGGTAATACAATCACATAAAATAACACTACAAATGATTCAAAATGGAATGTGATTCAAAGCATAATTTAACACAGACACATTTTGAAGCTGATAATGTTAATCTAACCAAAAAATGCCGACATCAAGCCTTTCAAGCAGACATGTACATTTAACAAAGTTGCCAAGTATTCCTCTGTTAACTTAAAACTGCAAGCAAGCACTGGCTATCGTAAATGTACGTCTCTCCTTCTATTGTAGTAAGATCCACAAAGAATGCTATACAATATTTACAAACCTGAGGCCCCAAAACTTACTGCCATATATCATATTGTACCACAATTTTAATAGTATCTTCAACTGCCTATGACTACTTTGTTGTGTGTTGACTATTAACTTCTTTGACAGCATAATACTACTCATCTGGTAGAATTTCACCTTTGTAACTGTGAAGAGAAAGTACTTGTGTTACTTCCCAGCTCATATTATAGGATATGAAAAGAAAGAATTACTGTACAACAAATTTCATGCTTTGTGCAGCGTGTTAATATCACCACTTATTTAAAGTTCTGCAAGCTAATTAGCTGCATTTTTCCCTGCAAGAGACTTTTGAAAACATTCAACTTGTGTCTTCGAAGTGACCATCCCATGTAGTGTTTTAGTTGTATACCACTGTCTGAGAGGAATCCTCCGCCTTCGGGACGACTCCACAGGACAACAGAGTACATCACACCAAAACACGCACATGGGCACTTAAGAATTAGAGCAATGTGCAGCTTTTGGTTCCTAGAGACTTCATAATCATCCCTCCACTTTCATTAAAAAATTTAAAATGCACAATAAATTCTCATTCTCCTCAATTTTGCCCTTACAGTCTCTCATTCAGAGTGATCTTGACATATAATGAACTTGTCAAAATTGCGAACTGGAAAAATCCTTATCCATACTAAAATTTACAGAAGAAATTGCAGCTATTCTAATTGGCTGTGCACTGCAATGGTACTTTCCACATCACATTGCAATACTTTCAGACTTTCATATCTGCAATTTTATGACCTTAAATTACATTTTATTTGTAATTAAAAATGGCATCTTGTCCTCATTGTATAAAACACAAAATCAGACAAACTATATGCAGCCATAAAATGTCACATAAATGCACACACACACAAACCCGGCACACTAGCATATGACACGGCACATCGTACTTACACTTGCGATGACTCCACGTGCTTCTTCTACTGGTATGCCATGCCGCATGTTACAGTCAGATAGGATTAGGAAGTTGCATATTTCCAGCATCTACTGTGTTGTAACACAAATGATCTATGTTCTCCAAAAGGTTTATGCTATAAATTTATGCACAAAAAATATTTATATAAATATACGTACACACTGCACGATTCATCCTGTTTGCAGCAAAACACTGAGCAGTAGACGTGAATTGTTTTACAAGAAAACAGCCACCACATTACCTAATTAGAGGTTCCCTATAGGCTGGAAAAATGTCATAAAACCAAGTTTCTTACCTATTAGAACAGCTGTTGAAACTAGGGTCCTTCAACTCTCTCGCCAATGTACGAGATTCTGTGACATGCTGAGGTTTAGATAACAATCTGAAAGGCTAACTTACTAGCGCACGCCTTGTATTTAATGAGGTCATACTGTACTTCACTTCATAAATTTGTTGAACTGGCAGACAATGTCAACAAAATAATAATCATGTTTATGGAAACACAAAATTATTTAAAACATTCAGATTTAAATATGTAGCAGTGTTTTACCAATATACTGTTGTGGATTCAAACACACAACACCCTCAAGCGACTGTGCAGAGCAAACATTAGCAAAGCATTACGATTCTAACTGGTTAGGAGCCCACATGCAGTGAACTGTGTGTTATTCTACACACAAGCTGGGGAAAACGGAGCAGCTTCACTATTTTTAAAATACATCTCTTCTAGAATTTAACTTTTCTCTACTGTCACCATTCATTAAAATGTAAGTATTAATTTTTAAATACTGGAGTACAGTACAGCAGCAGGATGGATCTTCCCAAACACAGTGATCCTGTATGGCAGGTTATGGCCTTAGGACAAACATGTCCATTTACCCATTAAATTAATTTACTTCCCTCTAGATGGCTACCACTTTTCATTTCTAATCTCACCCTTTCTCTCTTTACTTTCTCTCCCTCTCCCACAATCGCCCACGCCTGCTCCCATTGGCTCGGGGCAGGCTACACCTTTCACATTCCGGCCCTATAAACCTAGCCCCACACACCCTACTGGCATATTCATCGCCCTGATGATGGAGGCAGTACGACCTCCGAAACGTTGGTTAGCATCGACCAGACTACACGGCGCAACAACCCAGAAGACAGAAATCTTCAAAATTCTCATAGTTCTATAACTAAAAGCAGCTGCAATCTCTCCCTTTTGGAACCAAAGAACACAAAAAAAGAGGTATAATATAAATACAAAGTTCAAAAATTATCTCTGCAACTTCATTAAGAAACCTCTCATAGCTAAAAAAAGGCCGAGAAGAGGAAAATCAAGCCAGTGGCCAGCAGAACACTAACAGAGTTGAAAAATAATAATTAAGTTTTGGAATTCTCCTTTGGCCTACTATCTTGTCACTGAAGAAATTGCATATCTGAATAAAATACATAATAATCCTTGATCCAGTGTCCCTTTTATACCATCACCACCACCATCATGTGGGTGAACAACTACACCCATTCACACGTAAACATGTTAAGATTAGTACTGACGAAAGAGAACATTGAATATCTCAGTATCCCTGTGACATAGAAAACCTTAGTCTAGTTCAGTGGCAATTCCAGACGAGAAGGGGACTGCATAATACCTCATTTGTTTAGAAAACTTTATGAATCATTGCACTACTTTTCAAGTACTTTAATCCTGTGACTTTAAACAACTCATATTTCTCACAATAGCATCAATACCTCACAGATGAGGGCTACACCCCAATTTATAACATAAAGGAAGTTGTTTAGAATCTGCAATTTCTATTTTAAATCTCACATCTTTTATATTCCTGTCCAGAAATGTGTAGAAACCATTTCAGTTCCCTCTCTTTTTTGATGTCCATAAAAGCAAATACGAGCAAGATATTTCTAATTAAAAATTACTGGCCGACACTGTCAACCAACACAATAAAATCATATTTAAACTACAAAACAATTATGCTAGTGATACCACTGAATTACATCCAATTGCTAATCCCATAAATATATCATTACAAAATACAACTCCCTAAAATATTTGATGTTCAACATAATTTCACTTACATTCTTTACGTTTCAAATCACCACTAACGAAACACAGTCATTCATTATGAAATTCTGCTCAAACAGAACTATTTACGTACATAAACGAGCATACTCTACCAAAATAGTATTACATGTTAATACACTGCAGAACCTCTGAAAAAAATTCACACTCGTCCTTTTTGTCATCACTGAAAAAGCCAGTAACAAACCACGATCACACGACCACTCCTCCTTCACATATACACTTTCCACACATTATCGGAATGTCCTTCATCTCCGGTAGCATCTGCACTTGCAAGAACATGCACCACTCCATTGCAACATTCCCTTGTTTCATTATGAAACATTATTAAGAGACATAAATGGATATAACACACTTAAAGAAAACACTTCATGGGAACCAATCCGTTTCGTACTTTCCTATAAAATAGAAAACAAAAAACAGTAGTAGACTCACAAAATACATTTTCTTCTCTTACCACAAGTTCACGTGCCGTTTCCAGCAAAGCATCAAATAATCAAGCTTGCTTCTATATACACTTCAGGCAATCTTGCATATAGAACAAAATGATGATGTACCAAAATTTAATTTGCCTTCCTTCATGTAAAATTTCTATTACAGATGAAATTCTTGACCAAAGAAGGAAAACAGCAATTTTGCAAATCTCAGAATCCGCCAAACAGTCTACAAAGAAGCTCCCAGTATATAATAATTACAACAAATGAAATAAAGAGTTAAACTCTTACTAAAGAAGAAAATTTCTGCTTCAGACTATGCCAGGAAAACAGTCTTTGTTTCTGGAGGAAATGTAGGCAATAAGCAGCAACAGGTGCGTCATCATGGACATACAACAAAACATTCCAAAGCAACCATTAATAACTATGATATTCCAAGCAATATAAACATGCCTTTAAGACCATAATTAGCACAAGAGGTTAACAATTATCCCAACGAGGCGTAGCAGAACCAAGAAAAACCAATCAACAATAAGAAACAACACAGAGTAAAGACAAATTTAATTATATTCTGCTAGGAATAATAGAACAGGCTTTAAAACACACAAATCGTATTTTAATTAATGATATGATTATAAGAATATTTCAAATACATATTTTAAAAATGTCATGATGGTCTCTGCCCAGACCTTTATGCCACATTACGTCATGTTCATAGGAGAATGATCCTCTGAAACATGCTGGCGCAATACCACAGAAGACCACCGTCTACCTTCCCCTTGCATAAAGACCTCAAATCCTACAAGTAACCAACTTCTTTAATTCAGTTCCAGTGCCTCCCATTTTCCTCGGCCACATTCTAAAGCAAATTAAAAGTTGGTGGGAGAAGGGAAAAAAGCTTCTCGTTGTTTAAAATCACTGCACATTGCAGGTGCATCACACAAATTTTACTTTACATTTCATTCATGCAAATTTTTCAGCAATTGAAATGAAATTATCTTCTCTTTGCAGGCGAATAAGGATTAGAAGTCAATTGTACTTCCAGTCATTTCATATAAATACCTAAGCAAAACGTGCAACTATCACAATATACATTTAAACATACTTCTACTGACCAAAACATTTCCATCACAGATCATGGAGCACTTTTACTTCGAACATCTTACTTTAAAATATAAATCATGCATTATATTAAATCCGCTTTTAAATACACTCAAAACATGTTGACAAAACTTATTAATTTCTGTTAACAGAATTCAGGGTTTCATTATATCGCACAACTTCATTACGAAATTAAATTAAAATTATAAAAAATTCCTATACATCAAAGATGTCTCAAAAATGTAGGATTAAGATGTCTAATCTCCGATTTCAAGAATAATTTACTTTAAAACTGGAATCAGATATTCAAAACATACAAAAATCTTTGTGTTGTACGAAGCAATGCCTTTTGTACCTCACATGATATGTGTTACAATTTATGCACTTACATTGTTATTCACCAGATATGTGTTACAATTTATGCACTTACAATGTTATTCACCACTTTATGGGGTTTTTACTTCCAGGTACCCGAGACAGACCTTGTCCCTAAGGTATTTCCGGGATACATATTGTTTTCAGTAAGTGCCACATGTATTATATAATTTTATTTTATGAAAGCGTCTTTCGGATGATTTATTATTATTATTTTATGAATATTATATTATTATTAACTAAAGATCAGCAGACACAAATGAAATGAAAATATGGCCCACACATTTAAAACCCGTTAGATTTTATGTCTACACCAAACCTGTACTTTTTCTCAAATTCTTCACCAATAACAAAGTCTTACTGCCAACATACTTCAGGCGAAGAAGAACCATTACTACCACCATAGGAACTGTTGAGAGCTAAAAATGCATTGTCTCAGTATGTTCATAGAAAGCATGCCTCAGAAAAGCATGTTACCATTCTGTATCAAGTCAATTCTCAACAAAAACAATTATTTTTATTCTTGTGCCTTAAACTTCCTCAAGACATAAACATAAAATATTAACAAATTCTAACAGAGTCAATACACGACAAACAAAATAAGTAAGAAAATCTAAAATTAAAGCAGTCTCCAAAGTTTCTTTTAACAGGTTCAGTTATTTTTCTTCGTGATCAATTAGGCACACGCGTTACTTAAAATTTTAAAGGTTACAGTAAAATGTCTGAATCTGTTAGAATAAGAGACATCACCCCACATTAAATACAGGACACCGTATATTTGAAAATTATATAAAACACACGAGATATTTGGTCCATCTTTCATATATCATAAGACATACTCCTCCTGACACTGACTGTAATAAAAGTAAAAGTTACACTTATGAATTAGTGCCATGAGGAACCTTTAGAATATGACAGAGCAGAAAAACCTTGGTTTTAACAGATTTGCAAAACTTCACAACTATACTTCGGGAATGATACAAGGCCAACTCCAAAGTAACACTGAAAACAGTACAGAAAAGCCTGGCTTACTTAAGAGAATGGAGAAAAGTCTGTTTTAAAATTAAAGTCAGCAATGTTTATAAGTGCACATCCTTCTAAATCAAAAAACTATGACTTCACACTAATTTAAGTATAGCAAGAATAGAAATTTAGAAACGCCACTGAAGGCACGGAACAAAACCTTGTGCTCGCATCACATGGCCTAGTACCTAACATTTATCATACTAATTCATTATGGTAAAAAAGTTGATCTTAAAGAAGACAACAGCCACTCAGCTGGTTAATGAATTCTCCCCTTTTCATGAAAAAGAAAAGACCAAGTTCACAACAGCCGACCATTACCAGAAATATAAAACTATATTTTAATAACTGCAAAATGAATTTTACAGGATCCGTATCTTATACACCATTAAGAAGGCAATAACAAAATAATAGGATGGAATACTTTTCAGTCTGTTGTTATAAAGTTTCAAACAGCATTGCAGGCGCATTGAAAAGAAATAAGAAAAAATGAAAATACAAACATAAGGGAAATAGCCACCTAAACCCTCGAGTTTTCTTCTGTCAAAAAGCAACTTTTGTATGATGGAATAATTACACGTGTCCACAGAAAGGTGCCTTGTGGTCAAACTTTAATAAAATCCAAAATTCAAGTTGGAGCAAGCATAGAAACACATGGTAAAATCCAAAATTCAAGTTGGAGCAAGCGTAGAAACAAACCCACATGGAAACGATTTTTATTGCAACGGTTAAAACCGTACAGCGAAATACTTTCGGAAACAATCTTGATAAAGAATGGTATCGCCAAACAAACCAGTGCAGTTCAAGCCTACTTTCAGCAAACCAAGCATCACTACTTATCACTTACACGTGTTCCGGATGCTCGCGAATGCATTCTATCAATTTCTGTGGTTCAAGCTGACGTGTACAAATCCTATGTACAGCTGTGAATAGAGGGAACCTGAAACAAAACATATTTAACACTCTGAGTTCTGATAAGTCACTACAATTATAAATATAATTATCACAATCACCCTAATAAAATGTGACGAGGTCTTCATTTCTAATTCTAAATATAAAATGAAAGTTCACAGGAGTGGTAATTATACTTGTCTGCGTGGGAAATCAATTTTAATTACAGTATATTTTGCTACATGTGGGAAGTTTCAACTTCATATGGCTTGAGTTCAGACTCAAAAATTATTTATTTCAACTAGAAACATCTTAGACAAATAAAACCTTACCCATCCTCCATATTTTTATTTTTAAGCACAAAATTAACTTCTAAGGCAGTGATTGGTCCTTGAAGTTTCTGGCCATTAAGTAATTCAATTTCCAGTTGCTCGATACTCTGAAAACAAACAAAAAGATTACCGTAGACATTAGGAGCAGGAAACTTACTTCAGTGTGACAGTTCCGAACAGGCAGGCAACATGATGTTTGAGTAACTTAGAAACCACCTTTAATTGCCCTTCAAAATTCAATCACATGAATATGATAAAGAAATTGACAAGGACCAATATTTTCACTGATTCTGACAAGAAAAGTTTTCTAATCTAAATTTGTATCGTTGTGATAGTGACATTACCTTCCCTGATGTAACGAAGGCCTCTGATACGCGCCGGTTTCGACCACCATAACAAGTTGTAATGAGATCAGCTACGCCACAACTTTCGAAGAAAGTCGACAGTTTTGAACCAGGATAGAAGGCATCAACATACTTTATCATTTCCATGAGACCAAGACGGATAACAGCCGCCTTCGTGTTGTCGCCCAGTCTGAGGCCGTCCACAAAGCCAGCTGCACATGCCACGATATTCTAAGGAACAAACAACCCATCATTTTAATCCTGACACGTGCAATAATGAGAAACTGTTAAGAATGAAATCACACTTCTGTCAACTCTTGCCTCCTCACAATCTCTAAACTGTTCTAACCTGGGTTAAATGTCAGCGATTTTGAAGTTTCTAATATAAATGTTCTTTGAGTGCCATTTGAGAAGAAACTGATAAATTCAACAGCATTATGTCGGAAGTAAAGAAAACTGAAGTTATAATTACAGAATTTACTGTAGTTCTATGATCTTCTGTAATCATACGCGTAACTGTTTCTCAGCATAATATTCGATACATCAGAATACATTTTAGAAACAATTACATGCTTTCTGAAGTGTTTTACTAAAGACCACTGATCCGAAATAAGCGGATTGCATCTAACTGTGCAGATTGTCATCTTCTGGGTTGTGATGCCATGCAGTCTTTTGTGTGTCGAAGAACATTTTGGTGGAACACAGAGGTAATGTGCTCCTCTGAAGTGTTGGTAACCTCGTAAAAACCTACAGACTCCATTGAATCACAATCAAGAAGACCATAACCCACATTTTCACTGATAAGAAAACCTCATGAAAAATTTTGTTGAAGAACTGAACAAAGAAAAGGGAGGAACTTGCCAAGTAATCCCTGCAGCTTATATAGCACTTAGATAGCCTACAAATCAACTTGGGGACTTTCATCTCCTTTTATATTACCTTCAAAGCCCCACAAACTTCAACAGTGTCCACATCATCCACCACAACCACTCTGAAGTACTCCGTCTGTATGATGTCTCGAAGTACTGGTGCTATACGTTTATTCTTGCACCCTGAAAATATCAAATTACTGAGCTAGTTACATCTACACGCACGTACCCTTTTAACTACAAACTACATTAAATTACGAAGCATCTGAACATCTGAAGGTTTTAATTTTTACCTGTAAAGACAATAATGAACGTACATGTGTGTTAATGAAAACTGTCAAGAACCACACAATGAAAACTGGATTAAAGGCCACTCAGGTAAACCATTAAGGATAAAAATCCATTCACAGTGTTATAATAATTTATGTGCAACATACATATATCCTTAAACAGTACCCTATTAATATAAAAAGTCAGAGTTAAAGTCTTCTGGGTTGTTGCGCTGTGTAGACTGGTCGATGTTAACCAACGTTTCGGAGATCATACTGCCTCCGTCTTCAGGGCGATGAGTATGAAGATTTCTGTCTTCTGGGTTGTTGCGCTGTGTAGACTGGTCGATGTTAACCAACGTTTCGGAGATCATACTGCCTCCGTCTTCAGGGCGATGAGTATGAAGATTTCTGTCTTCTGGGTTGTTGCGCTGTGTAGTCTGGTCGATGTTAACCAACGTTTCGGAGATCATACTGCCTCCATCATCAGGGCGATAATTAGCCAGTGATTCAATCAAATCTTCCATCAGTGTTTCTACAATGGCTGCAGTTCTGTTGTACTTACCAATTGTTGTTTCACAGAACTTCTCCAAGGCCACTTCATTTGCTAGATTAGCGCCCATCAACACGCTCATTTCAATCTTCAAGTTCTTGTTAATGATGTGTGAAATGAGTTCAATGCCGCCTCCCTCCGCAATGTCAAAACCCTGTGTAACGCGATCACACAGTCATCAGACACTCTTCCACTCAACAGACTATTTCTATTCAAATTAAAAATTCAATCACGCTAGCTGCAAACTGAATCAAGGTTTGTTGTTGCTCCCACTGATGATTTAACAATAAGTTCTCATGAAACAATCTCTTAGCTCAGTTAAATAGCAGTCAATACGCTTTAATATGGGAGAGCTTTAACCTAGAACTCTGACAACAGACACTATAACTAACAAGGATGTGTAAATAACAACATTTTTATTTTTTTATCTGATTTTCAATTTGCTTCATTCTCTTCAAACACACCTGCTACATAATTATCTGTGATGCAATCACATACTACATACCTTGATAAGTGACAGTCCGACGGCAGTGGGCTTTATCTTTCCAAGTAGCGTTGAACACAGAGTCCTGATAAACTGATGTGGCACGACAAATACAAGGATATCTGCTTCTTTTGCAGCCTCCACAACATCTGGAACTGCCACCTGTGGAATGAATAAATCCGCTCATTAACCTCTTAGTGACATCTTTCTGTAGTGTTACCACACTGGAGAGCTTCTCATAGCTAAAATATTAAAATAGCATTCTGCAACAAAACCACTCAGAACAGTGTAGCTCAGGTTGTATAATCACAATACACAACACATTTTGAACAAACCTGAGTGCAATTTAGGCTGAACTTGAATTAAAAATGTTCTGCTTCAAATACTGCATGTCTTTCAACAGCTGATCGGTAGTTTTGAGTAGGTTATTTGTATAGCCACTGTCACTCCAATATTAAACAGCTTTATGGAGAATCATATAAAGAATACATAAGATATCAAACCTTATTACCTTAATTTACTTGATTTATGTTGATAAAAAATGTAAAAACTCTGACATGTTCAACGTCAGTGGAAAAGTACGATTTGAGGTGGGACCAGAAATCATCAGGGGTTCCAATAGTACATCACAAACCCAAATCTACTCTGTGATCACATCAGTTTGGGAAACATTGCTGTAAACCAGTTTTCCACAACCTTTCATCAACTGTGGCACACCCTAATTTGTCAAAGGCACGCAAATATAAAACTTATTATAAAAATCTTGTGGTGGCACACCAGTTACAGAACACTGTTAGAGACAACATCCGTCAGAAATGTCTCCACCAGGATTCGAGCTCTGGCCCCTTCCTTCATTTAATCACAAGCGACTCCTTACAAACAAATATTGAGAACCGTAGCGCATGTGTTTTGAGTAACAGAGTGCAGCCAACTTTGAACTTTATGTCATGAGAACATACGAGGAGTCTGTGGAAGAAATCAATATCAATGAAGGCATAAGAAAAATTCCAAAGTTCATGGCAGCTGAAGGTGAAGGATTAAAGTAAAAAACAACAGAAAAACACTGCAACTACTTAGAGAAAAAATCATGTACTTCACACCCATAACAAATTGATAAGAAAGTTCAAATACTGGCCCCTCATATTCCTTAATAAAGCAATACAGAATTTTCCTTTACGGTTACAGGCTTCACAAACTCTGGATGTTCTTTTTACGATGAGGGAAGGACATGATTTTATAAAAAATCTTTCTCTTGTCCAATTCTTTGACAAATAACACAAAACTCTTTGTGGCTCAGTGCACAAATACATGGATTTAGTTGTAAGAAAAGGCAATAATGTATTCTTTTTAACACCGGCCTGTGTTCATCTCTGTTAGGTTAGTACACACCCCTGCACATCATAAAACTGTGCAAAGTTCAACATAATTTAAAATCTGTATTTGAGACACAATGATTCTCATGACACACATTACTAGTTAGACTGCCGCACATGGTTATCACTTACAGAAACCCGTAATAACTTCAAGAAACTACCTTGAGAGGGTAAAATTAGTAGCTGATAAGAACAAAGCTCGTAAGCAATGCAGTTATTCTCTTTGGCTGTGACACCTCATTAATAAAGGCTAACCCTGACTTGCAAATCAGCCAACGCAGGGAAGTGGTTGTAAAACCTTGCGAGTAAAATTTCAAGAGTGGAATCCAGAGCTTGACCTATGTTCAGAATGTGTGGAGCTCTACCTCCACAACCTTTATACATATTTGTGTCTAAGTATGCGTGTTAATTAATTTTATACATTGAACCAACTTTGACCAGTGGAGGGCTTTGGTTAACTCAGTGATGAACCTTTCGGTTCCGTAAGCCATCTAGTTCATTGTACCAACTTCTGTGGCTACATACACACACACCCGCACGCACGCATGGAAGCTAGCATGACTACAAGGAATGTGCTTTCCACTCAAAAACATACAGCACAATCTAGACACATGTATGTTTGTACAGTTCCACATTTCCGTGATGAAGTAGTTATCAACTTTTAGAAGAGCTGTGAACTGTCTTAAATTCAAATAATACAGAAAAATAAACATGCCCTTGATCACTGCTTTTACTGCAGTCAGCCTGATGGTAATCATTGCTTTAGGATAAAACCAGGCACTGTTTCTAAAATTTACCTTGGTTTATTTTTTGTCAGGTGGAATGTTTGTAGCTACACGATAAATATCAATAATAAATTCATACTGTTGTAGATAATTTATCAAGCAAGGGGTTGAATAAAATTCACAGCTAATTTCCAATGCAACGCAATAAGTACAGTCCTGTCTAGAAAATAATTAACTTCCCACAACCAACTGTCCTACTTCTGCAGTATTTTTCCAACATATTTCAGATAACACTTCACATGGTCAGACAGTCTCTTTTGTGAGAGGTGCTCTACTTCCATTCTCTGTCACGCTTCATCCATGCAACTTGGCTTTGCATTAAGTAATGGTCTCAACCACTCTTAAAATAGGTCTCAACCAAACTTAAAATAATTAAGGTCAGGCTATATACATCCTTTATTCTATATTCTGGACCCACTCCAAATTCATTCTGATGACACAGTGAACAGAGTTATAAGGTCACAAGAACAAAACCTTGAGGCAATTCTCCATTTCTGCTCATGGAAACTGTCAACAACTGACCAGCAAACAGATTACTTGACAAATCCCACTTCATATGCTGGCCTTGAGAAATAAATAATTACCTTAGTACCCGAGCAGAAAAGCACACACAACTATATACAGGTTTGCACAGACCAACAGAACCAGAGATGACAACACAGAATTACTAGCGGCTTGTTCTCATAACTAGGTGAAGGAGATCTGCTTAGCACGTATTCGAGTTACGTAACTTTGTGGAGGTAAAACAATGAACTTATATCAGTTCTACATAATCGTCCGACTGTTCACATAAAGTCCAATTCTCATTCAACACGAAGGTTTGTGTATTCTTTATCATAAAGGAGTACTGGGTCTTGTGGAAGGAAATTTTAATTTCCATGTTTTGTCTGGTTTGAAGTGGATTATAATGGGACAGGCTATATATACACAAAAGAAAAAGGCATTATAGAAGCTGCAAAACTTTTTCAAATGAGGGGTCAGCACACACATATCACCCAAGATCCATGCTGCTTTAGCTCGACTACTGAGCCTGACTTGTGCTATAAGCACTCATTCATTCACTCACATTATTTGCTGTGTCATAATGCCACCCATGTACAAAGCGTAAAAAAAATCGAGGAGGACAAGGTTCTGGCACAAATTCCAGGATGTCTACTCGTAAACTGTAAATATTTTAAGACAGACACAGCCATCACTGGAGAAGAAAACTATTGTTGTGAAAGATGTCTCATAGACTTCTCAGTATGTTCGACCCAAGGGTTATAAATAAATTAAAACAAGCAATGACAGCTTTCACCTTTTGTCACAGACAAGAAAACAAATAATATATTTCCTTGGAATGGATGTCGGTGCAGGATATAAATTTATGTAGAGTGGCTACCCTGTCTGTTAACAGAGAGCATTATCATGTGGCATGTAAGTGGCTTCATATCTCAGTCCACGCAGAACTTATGTGTCAGAGTTCAAGATGTTACAT